GATCATGTGGAGGTTGTTGAGCCATTTCTGGTTTGCTTTCTTCAGACGACTCGAGACTGAGCTTGTTGAAAAGCTCCCTCAAATTCTCGGGACTGGTTTTGTCGTTTGGAGCTAATATACGTCCACTCCTGGTACGCATACACTCAAACAACAAAAGGGTTACAAACACCAACGGTAGACAAGAGAAAGTAAAATAAAAAGAAACACAGAAAAAGAAGAACACAAAAACGAAGAGAAATACGGAAAACAAAGTGAATAAGCGCACAAAATACGTGCTAAACCTTCCCCGACAACGGCGCCAATTTTGTTGTAAATATTTTTCCGGAGTAGAATCTAAAGATTCGAACACCGGGTCGTGTCTCACGAGAAAGGTTAGCTGGAGTATTCTGTACGTTTATTCAAGCACTAATAAAAGAAATAAAATTCCTAAACATTCTAAATCTAAGATTGGTTTTGGTTTAATTATCAACTACTGCGAGAATTCAAATTAAGCAATAAAAAATAAAGCAAGTAATGAAGAACAATTAGAATTTGAGAAGCTAGGGAGTCGAGGAGATCCGTTGTGCTTCGAATTGCAATTAATGGGCAAGTGATTGTTCAGCTAAGTGATTTGAATAATCGACACGTTCAAGTACTCATTCTCAATAACTTTTCGTAACAAGAGAACAAATTAGAACGGCAAATTAAGAATTCATTAACTCCTAGGCAATATAGTTACGAACAAGCCTAGTTCATACGAGCCTATTTCGACCGACTCCTCCCCTTTCGGTTCTAAGTGTCGGTTAAAGTAAACTAGAGGGTGGTTAACCGTCTAATCAAATAGATTCACCAATTTCAAGCACGAACAAATCAAATTCAATTGAAGCAATTGTAAGTTGAAGTGTCACCCTTCAACAATTATGAATACTCAAGCCTGACAGTTGAAGAACCCTAATAAAAAATTAACTCGCAAAAATTGAACAATCTTGAGCCCGACAATCACAAACGATTCCAAAACATCAATACTCTATCCCTAGCATAAAGATTTAGCCACTCATAATCGAATTATCGGCACAAACCACCATAATCAAAGTGAACATATCTATGAATTAGATGTATAGAAAAACTTACGAATAATGGAAATTGAATGATGAATTCGATAAACAAGATTAAACCGAAAGCAGTAGCAAAATCCGAGTTCAAATCCTTGTTCTACGTTGAAAATTATGAACGAGAAGAGAAGAACGAGTGAAAAGAGAGGGGGTAGTGTTCTTGTGTTTCTGTCCAAGCGCGGATCCTCCCGTCGCGATCCTCCGATCTCATTTTTATATCCAACATGGCGTCACGGCATGGGAGGCTTAGGCGCGGCGCGGCAGACGGGCTCTTCGCGGCGCGGCGCGGCAGGTCATCGCGGCGCGGGGCTCTCGTGGGCGTGGTACTGGAAGACGCAGCCTCAGTTGGTCTCGTGGCAGCTTCGCGGCGCGGAGGAGAGTCTTGTCGCGGCGCAGTGGAGCTGCTCGGCGCGGAGGGCTGCTGGTACGTCTGGACGCGGTTCATGGAGCAGCTGGCATCCGTGCACGTCTTTACTTCTCGGGCTTGTTTATACTCATTTGGACTCGGAATTCGATTCCGTTTCTTGCTGCTTGTTGCTAACGAAGCTCTCTAATTTATTATGCTTTCAAGGCCAATTTTCCACAGAAATTCGATCCTTCCGAAGCTTCCGACCTGCGCATCAGAAACAAAGAAGAACCAAAAAAAACACAAAAGAAATATATAGAAAACTAAGATAGGACTAGACACAAAATAAATTACAAAACGAGCTAAAAAAAAAACTAAAATACCTAATATGGGGAAAAATAAAAGAAAAATAATGACGAAAAACGCAACAAAAATGGGACAAACAGAGATCGACAAAGGCTATTGTATTGTGATATATGATGGATTGACGCCCAAACTTGATGAGAGATCGGCGCAGATGGGCTGTGCGGGTCTTTTGGCTTTTTTTCTTTTTCTTTTTTTTTTCTTTTTACTTTCCGAAACTGACATAGGCCCAATTTCTTCCAGAGTGATGTACTTACAGTATTTACTTTAACGGGCCGACCCAAGGGATTTGTAATTTTTAACAACAAGGAGGCCCCCAGGTTCCTGGGTGGATCAGGGATCAGTAGATTTGGCATGAGCCTGGGAAGCTAGGGGCCCTATTTATGGGCAAAGAAGAAGTTATTTCAAAAGTTTGATCGACCCTCGTCGTTGGATGGTAGTCGAAATGGATGGTCGGGATTGAAAAAGCGATTTGAAGAGACAGGTTGAGCAGAACCGTTAGATCAAGGTCTACATCTATGGACGAGATTAAGACTAGGTAAGCTAATGAGACAAAGTATTCATGACCAATGGATTAGAGGAAAATCGGATGGGCGTCATTAATGCAACATTAGTGGGTACACTGCACGAGGAACACGGACTGCGAGGAGGTTATGTCGATAGGACGTTTGGACTGATTTGATTTGACAAGTGACAAATATTTGAAAATCAAAATTTGAAATCGGGATCTCAATTAGAGGTTGAATGTATTATTCCAGAATTAAATGAAACGCAAGGGAAGTGGTCGATTAAGCAAGGCATGAGATCACTAAGCGGGATAAGACAGTTGGATTTACTCTTAGATCGAGTTATCCTAATTCGACCAGAGTACACCCCCCTCCCCACTCTCTGCCATGAAAGTGGGTGGGACCATATTATATGAGATATCAGACCAGGTTGACTTGACCTGAGAAACCAGCTAATTGGACCGGGTGAACCGGTAGGACGAGGAGAGATCGAGGGAGTTATTAGGTCGACGAAGATGCTACGTGAAGAGGTATCGCCGACAGGTCCAGTTAGGACCCTCAGATTGGTTGGTAGAAACTCGACCTAGAGGCACACAGGTCCATGAATCGACCTGAAAAACAGAGTACACGAGCCTAGCTAGGAAAACAATCTACCTCATGAGAAGAGGGTTGGGTTCACGATTAGACCGTCTAACAAAGAAGACTAGTAGATAAGAAAAAATATAATCAGGATTAGCACCATGTGAATTGTGCCAGCATAACAAAATGGACAGTTTGTGCAGTACGAATGGGTAGTTTGGGCAGTCTGGATAGTCCATCCTGACAGTCTTGGGCAACAAGGTAACATCCCTATATAAAGAGGTGAGGTATGTCTATTTGCACTCCAAACACTCTACTATACTTACAGAGCTTTATGTCTATGTTCATCGTCTTCATCACTGTGAACTGACTAGATCGTCGGAGTGCTAATGCTGAGGAAACCCCTTCTGGTCCATTTTGCAAGTCTACAAACAGGCCAGAAATCAGATCAGCACCCCTTCTGGTCCATTTTGCAAGTCGACAAACAGGCCAGAAATCAGTTCAGCGAACCCGATTGGGGTCTCTCATTTCGAAAAAAAAATTAGCATTGTGAACTAAAAGTTCTTTGAAAAATTAGCATTGTGGACTGAAAAAGTTAAGTGGAGCGACTTTCTCGAAAAGCATATTGAACATTTCAAGTAAAATGATAATCGTGTTTTATTGAATTATATTTTTCATGAAATTGCATACATAATATATTATATAGATAAGTTATTGAATAATGGTTAGTAAAATTATTCTTCTAATTGATATATTTTATTATCTTTTATACTAAACATATATATTATCAATAAAGTATATTAAAAAGTTTATTTCAATATCTATTAGCATTTCCACAGTCAACTAGCTATACACTATTAGATAATAAGGAACACATAGAATCAATTATTACAATATATTGGAAAAATAAAATATGATAATAATTTTTTTTTATTCAAACCGATAGATAATAAAATCTTCAAACTCATAATATAACTAGTTATCACTGCAAACAAGATCTATGTAGCTTTGAGTTAAGTCCTTTTAAAAACTCACAAGTTATCGTCTGTACAATCAAACTCATATAAATATTCATTAAGAGTTTAAGTTCAATCTATATCAATTATTTCGTTTGACCTACTGAAATAAATGTATTATAATATTCATTTGTGAGTTGTCTCACATCATTTATATAGGCCTAATTTATAAATCTAGCGGCTACTCCTTCTTCCACCAATTAGTTTTAGGATGAACCTCACTTGAGTTTCATCTGGGCGGCTACTCCTTCTTCCACCAATTAGTTTTAGGATGAAACTTCACTTGAGTTTCATCTGGGCTTTCCTGCTTATTGTGCGCTTCATTTGCGTGGAATCGCACCCATTTTCTCCGTTTCTTACTAAATGTTTGTTGGTTACTTTTCAATTTGAATTCATAGATAAAATTAACAGTTTTAGGGTTGAGAGAGTTAGCATTTTCTGTGCAATAGCATGCCACCATAGAAAATTACATTTTAACACAATACTTCACTCATTTGGATCTCTAAAGCACGATGGCCTCACCATTACCTCCTTTAAAATAAAATTATATTCTTAAAAAAATTTAATTATTACAAAAATAAACCTGGACAGTAATAGTACAAAATAAATAGAAAACTGAATAGAAACCTACACACACACACATATATATATATATATAGAACAATATGTCTCAAGTACTGAAAGAAAATGATGAAAAGAATGATGAAAAATGTAGTTCATATCAAGTTTTTCCTCTTTTTATTTTCTTTTATTGTGTGTGTGTGTGTGATGCTTGTAAACTTGAATTCAACCCATGTAACCACTCAAGGACGGAACAGAACCACTCAAGCACATAGGATATTTGTGCAGCCTTTTGCTGACGGATCAGCAGCTGCAGGCTAATATAAACGATAAAGTGCAACAAACAAGAAGAAAAACACTTAATTTTGTTTGGATATGAAAAATAATTATAGTAAACAAGGATAGATCTTCACAACAGTTAACTTCCGAAGGTCACTGACAAATGCAAATTGCAATAATCATATGATAACACCCCCACACAATTCATTCAATATATAAAAGAAAGTGAATCAGACCATATACAAACTCCAACTGGAATAAAAAAAAAGAAAAAGAAAAAAAGAAACACAAACTCATACTCTATCAACAACATTCACTGTTAATCTAGTCTCACACATAACATTATTAAACCCGAAAAGGCTCATATCTTTATATATTCGGAAACTAACTGTGTTTAAGAGCGAGCATAACGTATGGACACTCGTCTCTGAATCGGGCTTCTACAAGACGGGCAATCCTTCATCCCCTGCTTCTCGTGCAAATTAGTTTGGGCTCTGGATTTGATGGTGTCCTCCTTGGATTGGGTTGAGATCTCGACTTGTTCTCTTTCTTTTTTGAATGATGTGGCTTGTGTTAGCAGCTCGTTTTTTGCCTTCCATTCCTCGTTTAGTTTGGCCTGTCATCCGTGGTATTGTTTCAATAATAAACAGTGAAAAAGACCCCATTTCATTCCCTATAAATAATGATTTGGGTCCTATAAATCAATGTAATTTGGTGTCATTTCCAAAAAAAATAAATAAAAGAATGTAGGTTAGATTGGATAAAGTTGGTATCGTGCGGTATGAGAGATCAACAAGTTGGGTTTCTACTTAGAAGCATACGATGAAGCTGAGGAGAAACTAGCATACCAAGATCAATTATATTGTCTGGTATTTATCTTTATGGCATAATAGATTTCCAATTCAAAAGACGTAAGAAGTACAATACTATGCCCAAAAGAGAACATGTCATCTGCTGTTAACTCCACCTATAAAGGAAAAGCGGGCTTGTACAACATATAAGTATACCAAACAGGATATGCCGACATTACAAGAAATCAGACATTTAGAACATAATTTGAAGTAGGAATTTTTAGATACAATATTTTTCACTCGTTCTTCTTCACACTAAAATTACGCAAAAATGTTGCAAATATTCAAGGTTATTGGATAGAGAGAATTAAATTCACTCATATTACCAGCAATTGTGACAACCAATAATAAGCAACAGTACATCACATATCTCCGATGTCTCAGTATAATAACATGAGATATGGATTCACACCTGCCTTGATGAAATTTTGGCTCGTTCACCATCTTTACTATTATATTGCACAATGAATAAGAACTCAGGCCACTATGGCACTGATAAATGGGTTTGGGTAGAACTCATTCCCAAAAGCTAGCTCAAAGGGAGAGGCTGCCCAACCCACACTTATACACGATAACAGCCCAACAACTAATCAATGTGGGACGAACATAACTCCTAACAGGCACTATCATTCCTCATGTGTGACTCATCCAATTATAAGGCTGTTATTGACTCAACTGCACCTGTGTACTTATCAAAGATAACAGGATCTCCACTCTTCAATTAAGTATACAAACACAAACAAGCAAACTGCACATAGGCAGAACTCAAATCAACAACCAGTAGTGAAACACAAGCACACAGCGAAAGCAGTTAATTCATTCTCACCAAAAGCACGTGTAAAAGCAGATTGACACCTGTCACACATACCTCAATTTCATCTCGGATGTCCTTCGCCTGCAGCAGCCTCTCCCTTGCCCACACGAGCCTTGACACATCTCGGCAGCTGGCGGCCAACTCAGCCGCCCTCAGCCATCTCGACTGCAACTCATCCTGTGCTGAAGGCAGGCCTGACCTCTCTCAAGAGACAAACTAACTCGGCCAATATGTATTTATCCATCTGCTGCAAGTTATCAAAATAGTGCGAGTCGATTTCTTGTTCGCTGATGAGGAATTCTAGGGTGTTGTCCACCACCTTCGATACGGTGTACTTGCACCCGTACCAAAGGCCTGACCTCAGGATGGCCGTGGTGGCAATGCCCTCACTGTAGCCACTGGCAACTATCCTTTTTATTGCGATTTTGAAAATCGTGTCTAAGTTGGTCAAGACGAGTTCCGAAAGCTCGGTTTCTGTAAGGTCACTCCAGTCAGCGGCGTTGTGAAAGCACAAATCGCATGAATTTGCGTGCCAATGGGTGTTGAATTTTTCGGCCGAGAATTCGAAGCTGGTGAAGTTGCTCATTGGTAGAGGGAAGGGTTTATTGGGTGGATGTGCTGCTACAAGCCTTGGCAACCATTGATGCCATATTTGAGGCTGGAACAAGAAAATCGTTTTACAGCTGCAAAAGAACTGGGACTATCAAAATGATGTTATTGCATTTTGATTTTGACATAAAAATGTAAGTATATGAGTTTAAAATCCAGCTCCAAAATAAGTAATATGACATAAAATGGACAATTTTGAAGTACAATTATCCTTATAATCAGTAAACCAGCTCAATTAATACAGATTCACTGAAATTCAATCCGGAAAACCGACATAAAAAACTCTGACAGCGATTAATCTACTAAAACACACTTACAGGACACAANATGCCACAGGAAAGAACATACGAGATAACGAAACTGGGAGAAAACCCAGAACCAATAACAATTCAATCCAATCCAATCGACGGATCAAGATTATCAGAATTTTCGAAAAACCCACTAAACTCCAAACATCGAATAGATTCATCTGTACACAAAAGGTGAAGATCACAGGAAAAACACAATTATTGAGATTGATAATCAATTTCAGTGTACATCATCGATCCATCCCCGGTATCGATTTTACGATTTCTATGGGGCGATCAAACGTAGGACAAAATCTAAGAGCATGAGATCAAGGGTTGTATTCAATTGAGATTTGGAGACTTTTATATACTTGTAGTTTTATATTTGAATGAAACATTAATAAACGTAAAATAATAACTAATATTAAGAAGAATAAATGACAAAAAATATTTTATATATTAATTTTTTCAAAAATTATGAATCAACTCATTGTTATTCGAAATGAGTTATTGTTTAGGATTTTAGATTTATTAAACGAGCAAATCAATTCGAAATTCTAACGAGTCGAACTATGAAAGATACAAACATTGTCGAAAAATAGTAATTGTATTTTATAAAGTTATCAATAATATTCAAATAATTCAATATCAACAAATAAACTATTAGAAAATAAAATAATTTTATTAATATTAAAAAAATAAACATTGACAAATAAAAAGAGAGAACAAATAAATTATTTACAAGTGCAAATTATGGAAGCATTTAACCTTTGAAAAATCAAATTCACAAGATAACAAAATGAAAGAAAATGTATACATACATAAAATAACCATAATAAAAAAATATATAAAATAAAGATCACGTTAAATATACGTAATGAAAATAAAAATAAGACAAGGTATCAAAATAAATGAGTAAAATAATAGAGCATGAAAGTGATATGAGATACAAAGTCGTGTTAGAAAGAAAAAAGAAAGAGAGCGTGAAGCGAGTCACATAAGTCCAGCAAAATCTCACAAATATTGATGAGATTTCGGTTGGGACTTTCTCTTTGTAATTTTGTTAGAAAAATCTCTAAAAGTCTCACAATTTAAAAAGTCTTACAAAGTCTTCATATTTTGAATACATGGTGACTTATAAAGACTCTCGGAAAGTTTTAATTGAATACCCTGAGACTTTTAATGACTTTTTAAAAGTCTTTAAAAGTCTCCATTGAATACATGTAAACTTTTCAGAAGTTTCTAAAAGTTCTAATTGAATAAACCAGAATTCTGAAAGTCTTAAAAAGTCTCTAAAATTGAAATTGAATACACCCCCTAAGTAGAGAAATTAATGGATAGTTGTATGGTTTTTTTTTACACCACATTATAACTACTATTTCTTTTTCGCAGTCTCACCAAACAACCTTTTTTTTACCCCACAGTTCACGATATGTTAATAGCATCTTTAAATCAACTGCATAATGATTTTGCCGCATCTATCCTAAACATATCCAAATCGGACACATAGTTAACAACTATGGAAAACATCTTCACATAATTTTCGCATATTTAATTTATCTTATATCCAAATCAAAAGTTGCACAATTATGATTATGCGACATGTTTCGCACAGTTTACGAGTCGCATATCCAAATCTGTTGTAAGAAAAATTGGTTTTGTATCGATTTTACGATTTCATTTTTCTTAAGTGGAAAACTTAGAAAATTCTCAAAAGCTTTTAAGGTGAATGAGAAATTAATTCTAAGTTGTCTATGTGAGAAATGTAAAATTGAAACAATTGATTTTAAGTTACTCAAATTATTGAATTTGCAAAATATTCTGTCTTTGACGAATATTTAGCCATCTTTTGCCACACCTTATGATCAAATTCAGCCATCTTTAGGATTATAGGAATGATAAGAGGAATTTACACTCCATACAATCATATATATTTTATATTACATATTTACATCCGATTAATATTTATTTGCAAAAATACAAAATCATTCCAACATATTTGCACATATACCAGATTTTATAAGTTTATTAATTTAGAATTTAAATATGGAAAATGAATCAATTATGAATTAATTGAGATAATTAATACATTTTTCTTTTCTTTTCCCTTTTTCTTTTCCTCCTCCTCTTTCTTTTCTTCTTATTTTCCGTCACTTTTCTTTCCTCTTCCTTTACTTCTCCTCCTTTGCAGATCTCCATTTCTTCTTCTTCTTCTTCTTCAAATTCACCCTCTTCACTGCAAATTTACTTCTAAAAATTCTCCTTTTAATTTTCTTCCATTTTCAACTACTCAATTACCCCTGGCCGAAATTGGCTATTGACGGCGATGGGAATGGGCGCCGTCGGCTCAGGGGGCGGCGATTTGGGGTGGTGTCGGAGAGGTGGCGTTCTTCGTTAAATTGTGTTAAAATTGCGTTTCTGAATTAGTATGATATGTCTCTTTGCATGATATTAAATTGTGTTAAAATTGCGTTTCTGTGAATTTTTTGTACCTTGAGATTGTGACTATAGTGTGTAAAGTGATTTTCCTTTGATGTGTCTTGAGGATTTTGTTGATTTTACAATGGGAAAGTATACTTATTACTCCGTTTTTGCTTATTTCAATTGTGATTTACAATTTCCCCTGCAAATTGTAATAATGAAAGATGGATAAGTGAAGAAATCCTACTCAATTGTTAAACATCCACCACCAACTTTAGTGGAATTATCTTGAATTGTTGCGAAGTTACAAAATAAAACACTAATGGAAAATAAATAAATAACTAGTGGGATAAGATATTTATCTTGTAATTGTGTGGAACAATCTAAGAGGCATAACGTCGGTTAATTCCACCGACATCAATTACTATAAATATAGGTTTGTGCATGTGTGATAAGTAGAGTGAGTGTGTGTCCAATGGGTTGTGAGAGTGTGTAAAAAAATATGAGTGTATCATAATAAAATAATTAGTATGTTTTGGTCTCAATAAATAAAGTATTTATCTTAGTCTATATTGTATTTGTGTAATTACTTTATTAATATAATAAAGTAATTACGTTAGTGTGTACCCAATGTCCCTTGATCAGCTCTAGATTGTTCCCCGCTGGGAAACGATCGTTACATTAAACCTTGTTCGCCAAAGAACGAATAGCACAAGATTGTTTAAATCAAATAAAATCGAAAAAATATAAAGAGTCTGTTCCCCTACGACGTTATTGTTACTAGAGTCAAATCTTGCTCGTTTCTAATTTTAACACTATTAAGTTAAACATAAGCAGCAGGCAAGAGAATGATTGTGGAACATATGTTATTTTATGAATACGGTTAATCAGCCTACAATTTATCATTTATATTTCATTTCTTATCAAATAGATCTAGGTACAAAATCTTGTACCCAATAAATATACCTTAAACAGATCTCTCAGTTTTGGAGGTTGTGCAGATGCCTCCCCACTATCCGTTGTTTGCTCCATCTTTAATATAATATAATACTATTTGTTTTGGCATCTTTTGTGAGTAGTTGACTACTGTACATGGTCTAGAGAGATCTGTTACATTGTATATATTTATTACCTCTCGTTTTGGTGTAAGATGATATACAGAAATATTGCTTTGATTTTCAATGAGTTTCTCATCCTAAAATGTCTTCTTCATTAAAGATTCTTGTCTTCTACCATTTTCTGATACCCTCTACCCTTTACAATGGAGAGAATTGGGTTGAGACTCGGCCGTACACTGGACTTGAGTTCGGGTTTCAAACAATCAAGATGGCGAAGAAGATGATTCTGACTCAGACTCGAAAGCAGATCTAAATTGAAAGATGGTTTACATTATGGAGACATATTAGATGCTCGATGAAACAAAAAAGCAGGGAAAAATTCAAACGGTTTACAGTGGCCGTAATTTTTAGCTTCATGCAAGCATTGTATTGTTCTAATGACAGCAATTTGTGTGGTTCAATCTCTTGGCCTCTGGTTGATGAAATAACTATGTGTTCTTACACGGTTAAGCCTGATATTGCTGTAATGATATTTATTATGTACCAGCTCAAATAAAAAAAAAAAACATGAACCTTAAATTTTCTCTCCTTGAAACCTTAAAATTTCCTCACTTAAGATACCCTAAGAATCACGTGATATTGCAGATATCTACAAGGCTTGAATTGATGAGGCTACACGTGCTAAATTCTANCAAATAAAAAAAAAAATAAAGAAAAAAAGAAAAACTACAAAAAGACACAATGGCATAACTCGGCCCATCAGTTAAAGGATTCAAATGGAAGTTATCGCACAACTGTCGCAATTAATGGGTCTGGGCCTACGGGGTATGATTGAGTACCATCTGCACAGTTCTTTATGTGGAAATGTCTACAATGGCCCTAAAAGTAACATTTTCAGACGCAATTAACCTCAGTCCAAGCCGAATTTACATACACCAACTACCCACAAAAATAAACTTGACGGCAATAATTGACTTCACTGTGTCAGATCTTGCAACAAGGTTTTCCTCCCCCATTCTCTGCGCGTAAAAGAGTAGGTAGGTCGAGACACGAATGAGTGTATCTTATTTACTTCACTATTTTCTTCCGTCCTGTGGCCATTGCTGAAGTTTGATTTGTGCATTGGGGTATTAATAATATTTTTTTTTCTTTTTTTTATTTACCATTCGTTATTTTTTTCAACTGCTGTGTGAAAAAGGACTCGTAATTTCCGTAAGTATAACTCTTCTGTCTGGCAACACGGAAACCGATTTCATTTTGTGCTTCATTTGAAGGAATTTTGTATTTACTGTGATGTATTTGTCATTTCTAGGGCACAACATTGAAGAGTGAAACAGGGGTGTTGACCAATTTGTTCAATTTTTTGTCATTCCTAATGTGATGTATTTGTCATTCCTACTTGCGAATATGGACGTCAATATGATCGTTGAGGATCTCGCACACAGTAATGAAAAGATGCAGAATAATAGAGGGGGTAAATTTGTAATTGTGCTTCTAGTCCGACTTACCATCTAGGACGACAAACGCATAACACAGGATATCAAAATAGTCTCGTCCTGCTTCAATCCCACGTAACAAACACGTGTTCGTATTTATCTCTACACCCCAATCTTGTGTCCAAAGATTAAAATTATCTAATCTCTTCTAGGCTAACAAACACGCTCAATGAACTGGAAAGAGAGGCGTTAATCTCGTGAAATTGGGTTAGAAAAATGGGTCAGGTTATTGGGTTGAAATGCAAGGCCTATTTATTGGGCTTCAACACCTAATGTCGGACCATATCGTACGAATCCGATAATGAGAACCGCTCGCAAATACAAAAACCGACTATAAATGATAGTCCGAATTCATAAAATTGTTACTAGATGTACAAAATATATTAACACGAATGAACAAATCGTGTCAGCAAATGCAAATAAATAAATAACAGAACAAGTAAAGCTCGACTCCTAAATTTAAAAATCAAAGTAACAGAGTGACACATAGGGATTCATGGAAGAACAAAAATCAAGAAAACAACCAATAGCAGCAAAAGTACCTAACTTTCGGTGGCTATGGCTTTTTCTCAAGAACTTAGGGATTCATGGAAGAACAAAAATCAAGAAAACAACCAATGGGAGCTTTTTCTCAATAACTTTTGCTTGTGGCGATCAACTCTTGTTTGCAGAAAGTTGTTCAGATTCGTATAAGCCTGCAATCAGCTTCTTTGTATAATAAAGTCCCCGCCAAAAAAACAACCCAACTGACCAAGGTAATCCTAACATAATATCAAAATATTCATAAATAGTTGTTTGCATGACCATGAAAATCAGTGGTTCCGGAAAACCAAAAAACATGCTAATTAACTAGGATGAGATACTAAAGACTTGCATTTGGTAAAATCAACTCCCAGTCCTATTAACAATCATAAATTGATAAAATCAACTCCCAATGCTCTTCACTGTTGACGATCTGAGTGTTATGTTAATATATCTAGTGTGCCCAGTCAGCCTTATAATTAGCCAGAATATTATAAATCATCCTCATGGCAGATGCATCATGTATATATAACTACAATGAAGTGAGTCTTGGTTGACTTGTTGCGGCAAAACAATGTTTTCTTGTCACTGTTAAGTGAGTTTTGAAAACTAATTCTATAACATTCAAGTAAATTGGTACTATTTACAAAAATAAACATAAAAAAATACCAGATAGAAATAAGAGGTGAGCAAGCTTTTTTCTTGTTAAAACAAACCAATGCTCTATTGTGACACTGTGAGGCAATATCAAAAGTTCTGCAAATAGTATACTCAAGTAATTTAAACACATAAACAAGTAATTCAAACATGTAGAACCCGACATTAAGAATTTCATGTCAAACATGTTAGAATTAACACTGAAGGTTCTGTTTTTTAAGCAATTTGTTATCAACAAAGCATCTGTTTCTTATATCCTACATTAATTATAACACAAGATAATTACAATCATCTAATAAATTTGACAAGATATCTGTTTCTAAAAAAAAATAAATAGGGGTCTCCACATTAAAGAATTTCTTGCAAAATCGAAGAATTGCCACTAAATAAAAATACCTGATGTTCTTTTCAGGGGGTGGTGCTTCATCATCGATTCTCGACTTTTTGTTCATAGGATGGCCGATAAGAGAATTGCCGTTGGACCTCTTGAGAATTTTTTTGTTTGCCGGCAAATACCGATGATGGCCCCTCAAAAGACCCTCATGTTCTTCTTGGTCCGACAAAGTTTCTTGTTCCGTTTCGAAATCGGAATCACTATCAATCGACCCAACGCTACCATAAACAAGCTTAAGCTTGCCCTTCACATCAGCGTCAATCTTCATCCGAGAAACTAAGCAGCGCTCTTTACGAGCACTAGAGAGAGTGGTCGGCCATTTCTTTCGTTCCCTTATCGTAATACCTTCAGTCTAGGGCTTCTTCATTGCAGTGACCTTCAATTTTATTTTTTTTAATTGGATTTTTTTATGCACAAGTCTTCGACTTTCGTGATACTAAAGTTTTGCGACCATAGTTTCTTCTAGTATTGGGCTTCAAATTTGTTCTCTCTTCAGACGAGGTATCAGATACATAATGTTGATCTTTGTTTTTCGATATATTAGAGAATATTGGAGGATATAATGTGTTTGGCCTGGGTTTGTGTTAAACAAAGTAAAAAGATACAGGTTGCTTGTTTTGGGAGTAATGATATTGATAATGGACAAAGAAATCAATAGAAATGAGTAGAATAATGACCTAAGTTTGGCTTTATTACTTTTTTTTTCAATTAATTATTTAATTAATTTGTATTTAAATAAAGTCAAAAGACGTCTTTATGAAATACTCCTTTAATTGCCAAGATTCTTCCTTATATGAAATACTCCTTTAATTTGTATGTGTGATTTATGTTCATACATAATTTAAAAGTTATATTATATAAAATATACTAATCAATATAATTAAATATAAATATTATTTAAAATAGAATATGTTTGTAAGTATTATATTAATTTTATTATAATTGTTATATTTTTATTTCATATTAATGAATATTTTATCTATAAAAATAAAAATTCGTTTTATAATAATTTGATAAACAAAGAAAAGATGCTTCACTGACTTTATAGTCGTTTGGCCCACCTAGATAGTACTTAATCGATTGAGCGCTTAGATAGGTAATTTAAGCCATCTCCAGCCCTTATCTCTACTCTAGCGCGGACTTTACTTTACTCTAGAGTAGAGTTAAACATTTATCTTCAACTCGTATCTCTACATTTTACTCTACATCAAATATAGTAGTTTTTATCCATTTTTATTTCAAATAAATTGGTATATATATGTATATTTAATCTTATATAAATCTTATATAAACTGTTAATTTTAATGAAATCTACTTGTTTGAATGTTTATTTATTCATATGGTACCATTTGATATTAAAAAATTATAAAATAAAATTATAATACATCAACAAATAAAAAGAACAAAATTATTTAGCATAAAAATATATTACACAAAGTTACTTATCATAAAAATACATTACTAATACACATTATACAAAAATTAATCATTAATATTACATTAAAATGAAAAAATGCACATATTACACAAAGTTACTTATCATAAAAATACATTACTAATACACATTATACAAAAATTAATCATTAATATTACATTAAAATGAAAAAATACACATTATACAAACATTAATCATTAATATTACATTAAAATGAAAAAAAAAATGTAGCAACAAGACATCTTGCTAATGGTCGAGTCCGACATATATCGGACAATCTCGTAGCAATTATACAAACATTAATCATTAATATTACATTAAAATGAAAAAAAAAATGTAGCAACAAGACATCTTGCTAATGGTCGAGTCCGACATATATCGGACAATCTCGTAGCAACAAGACATCTTGCTATAACATTACAATTACCAATGATACTACCAATAAAATAAAGACATACTAACTGCACATAACCTACACCATATATACCACATATTCTTTTTCCAAAGTCTCTTACCATAACTTCTGAAAATATATATATATATATATATATATATATATATAGAAATATGCCACCAATAATAAATTAAATCCAACCATTGTGAAAATATTTCTAAAATACTATATAAAGAAATGTGCAACCAATATTAAACTAAATCCAACCATTATGAAAATATTTCTAAAATATTATGAAAACATTCGTGAACAAATTATCTGGAATAGTAAACATTCTTAAAAAAATTATTTTAAACACTACCATTTTATTTTAAAAAAAAATCGTCATTAAATATTTTTCTAGGCATGTGATTGCGGTCTGAAAGCTGGTGATGTAGTCTAACATTATAATTACAACACATGTTATTTTATGATTACTGTTAATCAGCCTACAATTTATCATTCTATTTCAATTCTTATCAAATAGATCTAGGTATAAAATCTTGCACCCAATAAATACACCTCGCCTCAAAGCCTCACCCGCAACATGGACCTTACATTTTCTCTCCTTGAAACCTTAAAATTTCATCACTTAAGATACTTTAAGAATCACGTGATATTGCAGATATCTACAAGGCTTGAATTGCTGGGGCACATTCTAGACGTGCTAAATTCTACTGCCGCCAGCTCAGTTTGCTCATATAAGTAGATCTCTCATCTCTTATGACCGTACTTTCGATCAATGAGAGAAAAAAAAAAAAAGTTGTAGCTTTAGGTTGCATAAAGAAAACTGAGTGCCAAGCTTATGAAAGAAAACTACAGAAGGCACAATGACATAACTCAGCCCATCAGTTCGAGGATTCAAATTGAAGTTATCCCACAACTGTCGACTTCTTATCTTTCCGAGTTCACGATCATACAGTCCTCTGTAAGAGCAATAGAATAATTAGATTTGAGCCTAGCAAGCATGACCAGCGTTGAAAAATAAATAAATAAAATGAATGATTCGAGTACAAATACAACTTTTGGAAATTTCCTTGTGATAGCACAAATATTATAATCAACAATTGAGAAAGTGATTTCAAGGGAAACTGAAAAGTGAAAACCCACATTTACCTAGCTCTATATCTCACTCCAAAGTGCAGACAAAAAATAATTTGCTCATAGTATATTACTGAAAGTATCTAAAAGGCAACCAATAAAATCAGCTCAAGGACACAGAACAACCAAAGCCATACCTTTGGCCTTTTTGTTAAGCCAAATCTCGATAAGCATGCCGGCTTCAATCCCAGCAGCTATCCATGATCCATAGAACAAAAATGCAGATGTCATGGACCTTCGAGGAAGCAAATAATAATCCGGAATTTGCCGAATCTTTTTAGGGACTCGTTTTTTCACAGCTCCTCCATTGCCTGTGCCCATAGGCTCTGCCATACTTTTACAGTCCATAGCTTTTGAGGGGTCTTTTGCTTCCGAGTCCATTATGGAAAATTCTGGCACCGATAAAAAAAATGCCCATAAACAAGTGTACGAAATAAATAAAAGGAATAGAATTTACCAAATAAAAGGAATAGAATTTACCAAAAGTCGCATATAATTAGTAATTACGCAAATTCAGAGTAGGGACCGATGTAGAATAATTATGGTTATTATTATTATTATTAGTTATTATTATTATTATTATTATTATTATTATTATTATTATTAGTTAGCTTGGAGAATAAACTTGGGTTTAGTTGAAGAGTCTTATTTAAAGGGCTCTTGTGTTTTGTTATTAGGGGAGTTAATTTTGAATAAAAATATAAATTGATTTTGTATTTTACGAGAGAGTATCTCGTTTATGGTACCACTCGTACGCTTTCCTACATCAATTGGTATCAGCAGTCAGCAGTCAGTACGATTCGCGATGTCGCCGGGACGACAAGATGCCGCAAACAAACGATGTGATGCAACCTTCAACGATCGGTTTCAACATATCCACTACCGATTTGAACAGTTTCACGGATTGGTTTGCAGATCTTTCGACGGGGATCGAGGATTTGCATTTGACGCTTAACAACGAGGTCTGAGATTTGCAGATGAACCGTGCTGCCGGTGACCGAGGTGTGCGAGGGGAAGTTCACGGAGGAAGTGGAGATCGTGGTCCAGGCGGGGCGCCCCGTCGGCCATCTCCACAACCGCCGCCCGGCGATGCAGACGGCGAGGAGACCATACGGAGGTGAATCCCTTCGGAGAGTGGCCACCTCCGCCTGTCGAGACTGAGCTCGTTGCTGCGCACGACAACCAAGATGTGCATCGACAGAGTGGAATTTTTTAGGAAGATGACGGGTCATTGTACGACGGTCCGCCTATTTTCGATGAGGAGCCTCCGGTGACGGAGACATATCTTTGCAGCAATATGGGTCCCGCGTGGGACATCGCAGAAGTTGAGCCTTTGACGGGATGCCGTCGTTCAAACCTGATTTTTGGAGTATCTTGGCCAACAATGGTTTTTTGGAACCGAAGCCGAGGCTCAATAATTGGTGGGTCATTTTCCGATTGTCTATCGCGAAGTCTCTCAACAACGGGATGCTTGGCCGTAGTTATGGTTTTGAGCGCGGCAAACGATATGGTATGTTTTGTGTTAATTCAGTTGTGTGGGTAATGCGTATGGAGGCGTGTACATGTGCCTTTCCAGCATATCATTACTTGCCCAAGATTATGTTTACCTTCGGGGTTATTGGACGACCTTCAACTGTTCGATCGTGGGAAACGTCCGGGCTATTCCTGTCATGGGGACGTCTCCAACGGGAACGTGTCGGATTCGAGGGCGACTCCTACTCAACCTGGAGAGAATGATGTAGAATAATTATGGTTATTATTATTATTATTATTATTATTATTATTATTAGTTAGCTTGGAGAATAAACTTGGGTTTAGTTGAAGAGTCTTATTTAAAGGGCACTTGTGTTTTATTATTAGGGGAGTTGTTTTTTGAATGAAATAAGATTGCGAGTTTTATCGAGAGAGTATCTTGTTTATCCTTCCCATTCGTACGTTTTCCTACATCAGGGACCATGATGGAAATAATATAATATCATCCTGAAAGCTCAATCAAAATATACGTGCTGGCTGCCAGTCTGTAAAATTTGCAATATAATATCTACAACAAGAACTATATTTTCCCAATTTCAGCAAGAACCAAGATAAGTGATATCTCTAAAGACCTACTACATCTATCTACAACAAGAACTATATTTTCCCAATTTCAGCAAGAACCAAGATAAGTGATATCTCTAAAGACCTACTACATCTAAGCTATGCACCATGGACAAATGATTTTTCCTACTCCTTAGAAGAAAAAGACCCACTATATACAAGAAATGGAAAAATCATTGCAGAGTTTAATGTCACATAAAGTAAAAAAATATAAAAATGATTCATCCTATATAATTTTAGAATCTAATAGTCCAGTGCTTCTCTATTTCTCCTAATATATGATATGATTTCCTAAGCAACTTCCATTACATCAATGATCAGGCATATTTTATGAGAAATGCTACAAGTGCATAATATTAATATTGTACATAGAGATTTACATAACACTCACATTAAGTGGGTCCTACCAAAAATAAAAAATCAAGTGGACCCCACTCCATGTGTGTGTTATGTACACCATTATGTACATTTATTATGTACTTGTAGTATTTTTCCATATTTCAGAGAGACGAAAATTTTGA